ACTTTTTTCCACTTGATAAAGGTTAACGTGAGGGTTCCCGATGGTTAGGCTGACAGTGATCACTGGCTGTTTTTAGGGGTTTGTTCAGATGTAATAGAACAAGATAAAAAGCATTAAAACATTTTAACAGCACAACAGGCTTAATAAACACAGAGTAGTTTGGGCCCGGAAGCAGGATTCATACATCATCACTTAAAGAACAGCTCCCGGGGCACAGCTAGCACAGTAGATGCCACATGATCGAAAGGTTGGGCGTTCAAATCCAACGAACAGAGGCTATCCTGGATTGGTAGCTGCCCACTGCATCACTCAGTGAATGGGTCAAATGCAGAGGACTAAGCATTTTCCTACAGGATTAATAATGTATACATAAACAATGCACGGCATCTGTAATCATGACTTGCCGGCAAAAAAAGGTTGGCTGTTTGTCTGTGTTGTTGTTGTTCATGGGAGTCGGGCTGTGAGCTGGAAAGCTACAGCCAACTCAGTGTATTTGTAGCAGCAACCGGAGTACTGTATTTTTCAGACTATAAGGCGTACTTAAAACCCTTTAATTTTCTCAAAACTCGATAGTGTGCCTTATAATCCGGTGCGCTTTATGTATGAATTCTGGTTGTGCTTAAGCCGCACCGCTTGATGGATTGTTGGAACATTACGGCTAACAATCGGGAGCCTAGCGGCGTGCTATGTACTGTGCTTCAACAATTATTACTGTATTGTGTGTGTATAAGGACCCCAAATGGCACCTGTTAAGAGACATGCTTACGAAGTGGATTTCAAACTCAAGGCTATCAGTCACGCAGTAGAACATGGGAAGAGAGCAACTGTGAGAGATCAACATTTATGAATCAATGGTGTGTTGAAATGTTTCGTCGTTCAAACAAAATTTACCAGTCAGACTATAATTTACCAGTCAAGATGTGTTTATTTTCCTCTCACACACTAAGTAAACAACCTAACCCTAGTTGAAGAAACCTAGGGTTAGGCTGAGCAGAGAAAAACTCCTCAGTAGTCCTGCTTCTCATGTAATGGTCTCCCCACTGTTGAGAGCGTGGTGAATACGGTACTGCCTATATCTATTAGGGTACCTAACTGAAGGTAAGTGTAATGTTTCACTGAAAAATAAAATTTTGTGCATTTGGCTTTGTAAAGATGGTAAATAACCTGAATATTAGCATAAAAAACAACTGTTGTTCACTGACATCTGAGCGGAGTCCAGCAACAATAAACTCATTATAAATAACTTGGTTTTTGTTTTTTTTGTTTTTTTCAAACAGGATCTTTCTACTTCCTCTAATGGAGCACTTAGCAGTGTTTGTTCTCCAGACTGGTATCTCGTGCTGCCATGGTTAATGAATATGTGAAAATCTAAGAGCTTTCCAACCCACATCCTGTCCAACATTAATAAGGAAATGTACAGTTGTCTAGATATTTTTCAAAGATCTCTAAATAACAGTAACTTTAGGACAAGTTGTGCAATCTGACACATTTTTTTACATTATTATTTAAACAAATACACCTGAACATGAATTGCTTTTTATTTATTGTCTTTATTGTCTGGATATATCACAAATGCTCCAAAAGAGTGTTTGGATTACTGTAGAGTCCTCTAGTTTCATAGACAAGACCAGAACAATAAAGATTTATTTTTTTCTGTAGTAGAATAAGAAAAAAACCCAAGTAAATCTGTGACAACATCTGCTCAAAAAGACAATTTAGTCACTGTATCTTGAAGTTTATTGGGTTTTTTTTTTAAATTTTGTTTTATTAAAAGCTAATGTTAATGCACTTCAGCTGTTTGGATTTAAATGAAACTGATGTCAGTCTGATTCATTCACTTTTAATGATTAACCCTACTGTCAAAAACAAAAGCATCTGAAACCTGTCAGAGTAGAGTGCGGACACTTTGGCAGAAAACAATTTTAAAAAATTTATCCAAAGTAGCAAGAAAATAAACTATTCAACCTGACTGATGCTAGGATGATAGAGGCTTGGGCTGTATATCAAGAGTTTGGTTAATAACATGAAGTCATTATTAGTTGCTGTTATATCAGCTGTTATGCTGATGCATAGTGTGCTGATCCCACTGTGTTAGGATCGATATGCGGGTAGAAACACAATTGGTCTTTACATTTGCTCTGAAGAGGGCAGGACAGTGACATCAATAGAGTAGGAAGAATCTCTGAACAGCGCAGAGAGGGTGAAGATGCTCTCTGATCACTCGAGGCTACAATGATTGCAGGTTTCTTCTTGCTGCTGCTACTTGTGGGTAAGCTGAGATCATTCGAATTTAATGCAGATGACAATTTGGACCATTTTAAATAAAATGTTGTATTATATTTTATTCAGCAACACTGTTTTTACTTGGAATAGATAAAACGTATTTCAGCAGAGGGGCTGCTTGGCTCTATAAGTAGCCAGTAAATACATCCTTTTTACTAAATTAAATTCCACATTTAATCAGTTTACTAAAACCAGCATCTTAGACTGAAAAATGAATAAATATTGGTGAATAAGTTGCCTGCCTTCTGATAACCCCGATAGATATTTTCTGTAAAATTTCTGCTGCAACCTCAATACAGGGATAATGAAAATGGTCTATTGGACAACACAAAGCACATAAATACCAACATTTTCAATAGCTCACCTTATGATATGTGCAGATTAGCAGTAGGAGTGTGAATGTTGTCTTTTTCCCTGTGTGCATAGACTACCGCAGTCTGGCGACTTGTGTATGATGCACACTGACTCTGGCACTATGTCAGCTGGTGTAGCCTCCAGCCCCACCAACATCCTGAACTAGATGTGTAAGAAAATAGATAAATGTTTAATTTGGTATGAAATCTTACATCAGTTGGAGTAAACCAGCTTAAGGAGTAGTTTCACTATAAATTTTAGGGACATTTTTTTTAAAGAAACTGAAAATGCAACCGAAAAGAAAAGAAAAAGTCCTGCTGGAGCACAGCTTGCACTGAGATGAAAACAAACAAATATTCTGTTTATTCACATTAGTGGAACAATAGGAACAGAAGCCAGGGCAATAAAATCGGACCATGGAAATTTGGTTAATAGCTGGGAGCCAGAGGTTATGGCTGGTCCAAGCACAGGAAGGAATAGTTGTTCCTGTAGCTGCTGTAAGGTCCTATGTTGTGATCTTCACTGTGACAGCAAAGCATTTTATGCCTCAGGAAGCAAACCATCTCAAATGTTTTGAGACAAATATTGTCCTGTTTTTTGTCTAATATGGGATTCTAGCTGATAAACAGTCTTGGCTTTGCTATGTTGTATTAAATGTTCCATGGTGCACCAAATATTTTCATTCGGTGAAAAGTGTGGTCTGCATGGTTGCCAGTTCACCACCTGGATTCGTCTATCATTCTATTATGAATGATGTTATAGATACAATATGTAAACTTTTGAATATGTGATTGTGTTGCTGAAATATGTAAGGCTTTTCCTTGTAAAGCCATCATCTGGGAGCATACATTTCTGGATATTTTATACCTTTAGGCATAAATTACTGTACTCTTCCATGCCAGGTGAAAATGGCTCCAGTTCAGAGCTACAAGATGATCAACAGATGATCAATGAAACCACTATCAGAGGTAAAGAGTAAAGACAGTCTATCTATATATCTGTCTGTCTGTCTCTGTGCAAACGTCTGAACCACCCCTTAGTTTGACTGCTTTTTCACTCATTTTCAGTCCAGTCTTTGGACCTAACTATTTTATGAGAAATGTTCTCTTGTTTCTGTGAGCCCACTTACTACTGATCTATGACAAGGCCAATAAAGAGGCAACTTGCGTCTCACAAAAACACAGGATAACACAGTTGAGGACATAAAAAAAAAAAGTTTTCAGCAAACATACGAATTATTAAAGAGCTATTAGGCAAAGACATATGTCAGCATGGTGTGCAGTGTGTACTTAAAATCTGAAAAATTTGAAAATGAAACTGATCCTTCAGTCCAGTCTGCCATTTTGCCAAAGCCCATCAGAATGGTTTTAGTGGAAGATTGGCTTTGTTATGGTTTATGGCTGTATTTCAGTGAATGGTGTTAGGGATCTTGTCAAAACTGATAGAAGTATGAAGAGTACTGTCAGTCCTGATCAATGCAATGCAATCTGAATAGGCAACAGCTTCATTTTTCAACATGGCAATGATGCCGAATATCCTGCCAGTGCTGAAAAAGCACAACTGGATATTAAAAAACAAAATAAAAAGGGATACTATCAGTCATGGATTTTTGCCTTTCATGAGCCCAAATCACCAATTTATTGAGATAGTATGGGATCATCTTGAAAGAGAATGGACTGAAAGGCAGCAAACCTTCAGAATGCTTTGAATGTCCCCCAAGATGCCCTGATAACTATTTCTGAAGACTACTTGAGGAAATTGCATTAAGACTTGCCTAAGAGAGTCCAGATTGTGTTGAAGAATAAAGGTGGTCATACCAAATATTGACTTTCAAGCTTCTTAGAATTGGTTTTGTCTCATATAATGTATTCTCACACATGTTTGTAGTTGTTTCAATAGTATCTCCACCCATTACCCACTTTTTTTTTTTTAGCAAAATATAAAGAAAAGATGGTGACTCAAGACTTTTGCACAGTACTAAGCATGTCAATAAGTGATGTAGTATTCACTCAGGATCTAATAATCAGCAATACTAAAATATAAAATAATTTTATGTAATGGAGAAAATAATGAAAATCAATGTCTGTAAATATCAATCTATTTAAAATATTTTTATTAAAGGATTGATTAAATAAAACTTAATCATGACCTTTTAGTGAACAAAAGGCCTCTGGATATATCAGGGTTTGATTAAAAGGTTCTGAGGTATTACTTCATCTGTTGCAAATACGCCAAAAGCTAATAAGCAATAATGATGTCTGGTGAGCAACAGACTTCTGAAGTTTGTTTTTTTTTGTTGTTGAAAATCAGAAATGGGAGTTTCTTTGTGTTTTTCATCTCATAAAAGAAATCGCTGATATAGAATGTGTTTTGATGTCATTTCAGATAATGAAGTGGAGAAACTCTGTAATTTTCAGGCGATTGTACGCCGCCTGAACCTGCGCAAAGACAGTCTTAAGTACACTATGAGCCGGCCCATTATAAACAACAGCCATCATACAGATGTGTTGCTTGAAATGAAACTCTATGCCATCCTGGATATGGTACATTGTTTAAGCTGCGTGCATGTGTGTGTTTTTCTCTGAATGATAATGAATATTTTCATTGCCAAATAGTTTGTGTGTGTTTCTTAATAATGGCAAAAAACCCATCTGCCAAAGAGGAGATAATCATTTAAACCATTATGTAGTCCTGCTGGAGCCTATCCCAGATACCATAGGCATTAGCAGGGTACAGCCTGGACAGGTTGCCAATCTGACAACCATTCCCACTCAAATCTATGGGCAATTTAGAATCGCCAATTAACTGAACTAACTAAAAAAGAAGCTGGAGTCGGGTTGAAAAGCAGCTTGCAGATAAGCAGCAACAGTGTACAGGTTAAAGAAAATTTTATAGCTTACCCAATATGAGATTCAATTTAATTCACTTTTATTTACACAGCACCAAATCACAGCAACAGTTGCCTCAAGGCGGTTTGTATTTTAAGGTAGACCCTACATTAATAATTCACAGAGATGTATTTGCTGATGCTTTAGCTGAAGTGTGAAGCTACCTAAATGAACATTGTTATTTTTTTCAGAGAGAAATTGACCAGACCTTAATTTCTTACATTTGGGTTTATTTGGTGAGTTTTCTCTTAGAACTACAATTTTTTTGTTTTGTTGAAATTTAAATTGCTTGAAATGACATCTTTCGATTTTTTTTCTTGATTTGATCACTTTCCTCCCATTGCCCTGTGTAGGAATGGACAAATGAGTACATTAAGTGGGACCCAAATCAATTCTGTGGAATTAAGGATATGACAATTCCTACTGCATATTTGTGGATGCCCGATATAACTATTGTAGAGATGTAAGTTTGACATATATAAGCATAAACTCACACTCAAAGACCCACTCAGTCTCTCCACTTGATTATGTTGAGGTGGGTTGTAATTAAGATGTGGCTGTTCAGTGCATCATGTCATTTGATTCTTGCAGGAAGCCAAAAGTCAAAAGTAGCATTTTTAGTGCTTACAGTCTGTCAATGCTCATAACACGGGAGGAGTGACCGAAAGAGAAGAAAAGAACTAAATGTCATGTATTTGTTTTGTCTTTTTCTGATGCTGCCATTCATAACATAATCAATTCTCATTTCTTCTCACACAGGACAGAGAAGGATAAAGCCTCTCCGAGTCCTTATCTCTGCGTCAACCACAATGGTGTGATCGAATACAGGAATGACCAGGTGGTGGTGAGCACCTGCAAGCTGCACGTGTACAAATTCCCCTTTGACTTTCAGAAGTGCAACATATCCTTCAAGTCTATTATGTACTCTGGTGAGGACATAACAGGTTCTGTTAATGTATGCTGTTCATAAACACACACTACCACATGCCAGAACATATATTCTTTCCTTCTTGATCTTCTCACAGTAATTTTTTATGTTCGACTTCAGATGCAGAAATAAAGTTACAGCCCGACAACAGCAATAAAACAGTCACAGAGTGGTCTCGTGACTTTATGCAGACACAGTATGAGTGGCTCTTTGTCAACATGTCAGTCACCAACAGAACTGTCAATGAGTTTGACTTCAATCAGCTTATGGTTGTCTACACTGTAAGTATTTTTGGTAACAGAAACACAGAACACATGAAAGCTGTTCTGTTACCCATTACCCTGGTTTTTGTTTAGAATAGGATGACTCTGGATATCAAGAAGAGAAAGCAAATGAAGACAGAGGCAAGGATTAAATGGTAGAAGTTGAAGAAAGAAGAATGTTGCATAGAGTTCAGGGAGGAGTGGAGACAGTGGGAGAGAAGAGAGTTGTAAAATGAGTGAGAAAGTGCAGCTGAAGCGGTGAAAAAATATGAAGCTCTTTCTGCATCTTTACATGTATGAAGTAGGATGATTAACCACCTTATTTCACAGATTACCATGAAGAGGAGGTCTGTCCTCTACATTGCTAATTTCTTGCTGCCAGTCTTCTTCTTCTTGGTTCTGGACATGGCCTCCTTCCTTGTATCAGACAGTGGAGGTGAGAAACTTGGCTTCAAAATCACTGTGCTGCTTGCTGTCACGGTGATGCAGCTTCTTCTCAATGAGATCTTGCCCAGCTCTTCAAACAGAATTCCACTTATAGGTAAAGAAGTGTGGTGTATTTGACTGCATTTAATGAATAAATCATGCTACTGAGTGATCAAGTAATTTATCCACATTAATGCTGGCTGCTTTCCTCAGCTGTCTACTGCATTGGGGGGTTTTCTCTGATGCTGCTCAGCCTCTTGGAGACAATTTTGGTGATGCATCTGCTTGACAAAGACTCTGCAGCCCAAGATAATGAGACAGATGGAATCCAAGGTGTGCTTGATAATAGCAATCACTCTACAAATATTTGGATTTAAACTCTATCGACCACTTTTGCAGATTTGTGTTTAGTGGCAGGTTGTATCCACCAGTTAATTTTAATTGTGTTTGATTTATCTTTGTTTCTCTTACTCCAGACATAAAGAGAAATAGTCATTGTGCCTCTGTCTCTGGGGTATCTGCTGAGGAAACACCATCTGTGTCTTTGTCTGTATCATCTCTGACCCAAAAGGTTGGAATTCATTTTATTTAATTTCAAAAAAGTATAATATCAAAACTATTGAAAGGGATTATGCTAGCATTATCCTTAACCCTAGCATATATATCAGAAGCAAACACTTTTATTTAATCAACGTGGAAACAAACCAGTGTGTTGAATCAAGAGTTGACCTAAAATCTTGTCAATTACCTTTCTACAAAACCTCCTTTTTTAGGGTAGCAGCAGTAAACTGACAGAGGTGGCCTTTGCTCTGGAAAAAGTGTCAGATGAGCTGCGGGAGACTGGGAAAACAGTGACTCTACTCAGCAGCAACAGGAAGTCTGGCTACTGGACAAGAATGGTTAAAAAAATCAACAAGTATTTTGTGATTTTTTATTTGACAGCAGTCACTGTGTTCTTAGCAATCATGTTTTCAATGTGGATCGATGTTGAAGACTAGCAGGACTAAAGTTTGAAAAACAATATTCAATCATTAACATGAATATGATGTATTAGTCTCTCTTTTATACCTGTAGTTTCCATTGGTTACTTGTGGACTTCCTGCTTTGCTAAAAGGTTAAATTTTAGTTATAAAGACCATCACTAAAGTCTCCATTTGGGTCCCTTTGCATGAATTCCAATATATTTGCATTTTATTGGGTGATGAACATAAGTCCACGTTGAACTGATATTAATTCATTGCTTTTATTAGTAAAAATAAATAAAAAATGAAAGCCTACAGACAAGCCTACATAATATCATATTTGCATTTTTAAACATGCTTTTTTCACTTTAATGTGCTGTCCCAAAGTTTTTTGTTGTTGTTTCTTTCTCCCAGATAACTGCAATTCACAGGGTATTTAGTCTTTTTTGAACCATTCTCTCTAAACCAAACAGATGGCTGTGTGGGAAAATCCCAGTGGATTGGCAAATTCTAAAATATGTATCCATGTGAAAATATGTTGTAGAAGAAAATTTAATTTAAGGGATTATTAACTTTTTTCAGTCACAATTGTTAAAATTATACAACCATATGTAATTGACATAATTATACATTTCAGTCCTAACAGAGTTGTAGTTTGTCTATAGTAATTATAGGCATTTTCACACTGGCTTTTGTTGTTGTTTGTAAAAAAAAAAATTGATCACGTAAACAATATACAAAGTTCATTTGGCAAAGAAAAGAAGAAAAAATGCTACACAAAATAAAGCTAATACATTTCAATATTGCTTTAACTGTGCTGATTCAGTTACATATCGAAAAGGAGTGAGAAGAAGTACACAGTTATTTAATCCCACAGCTTTGCCATTTAGTTAGCCTTCTTACTGGTTGTCTTCAAATCACAAATACTACTACTAATAATAGTAATAATATGCTTTTATTCCATTTATTTCTTTCCCGCTTATCCTATTAAAGGTTGCTGGAGCCAAACCTATATCCCTGCTTAGTGATCGAAAAGAAAGTATTTTTACTATCAAATTCCGGTCCATAAGTCTTCATTAATAGGGGTTTTTGACCAACAAAGATCATGCAAAAACTGACAACGAATAAAGGTCTGTTGTTTGATTTAATTGACTGGCTTCGAGTTATCTGGCTAACCTCCACACCGTATGCCCACTGGACCTGCAAGCCGCTCCTTCCTCGCCAGACTGCTGTTACACTGCGCCTTCTTCACTGTTTTGTTCATGTGAACTGACCATGTGAGATCCTCCGCCAGATGTACACCTAGGAAATGGAAGTTGCTCACTCTCTCCACAGCAACGCCGTTGATGGTGATGGGGGTGTGTGCTTTTATACATCTCCAGAAGTCCACTATCAACTCCTTTGTCTTTGTGACGTTGAGGGTAAGATGGTTCCTTCGGCACCAAAGTGTCAGGGTGCTCTCTTCCGTCCTGTAAGCCAGGGGTGTCCAAACTCCGGCCCGCGGGCCAACTGCAGCCCGCGATCCATTTTTAATATTATAAATAGAATAGAATATGGCCCGCACTTCAACTTTTGCTTGAGTGTATTGCACTTCTTAGTTTTAACACCAGGGGGAGCTACTGTTGATCAAGGCAGTTGCTCCACCAAAAAGGACAATCACAGAAGAAATTTACCCCAAGTTAGTTACTAAACATGGCAGAACCAAAGAAGCGAAAGGTAGAAAGTGAATGCAGAAGATTTCAGACATGGTGGGAGAGTGAATATTTCTTCAAAGAATTCAAGGGGAAGTGTGTCTGTTTGATCTGTACTGAAATTATGGCAGTTATGAAAGAGTATAATGTACGACGTCATTATGAAACCCAACATCAGGCCTATGCATCCTACACTGGTGCTGAGAGAGAGCAGAAATTAGATCACAGGGTAGCTCTCCTGCAGGGTCAGCAACAGTATTTTTTTTGTGCTCGAAAGGTCCAAGAAAAGGCTAAAATAGCCAGCTATGAGGTCACCCAACTCATCGCAAGACAAGGCAAGCTTTTTTCAGATGGAGACCTCATAAAACAAGGCCTCGTTAAAGTCACCGAAATAATGTGCCTGAAAAAAGTGCTTCAACAACGTCAGCATGTCCAGAAATACAGTTGTGCGACGCATTGAAGACTTGTCAGCCACCATTAAACTGCAACTGTCTGATAAAGCTGTGCTTTTGATTTTTACTCCATCGCATGCGATGAGAGCACCGATGCCACAGACGCCGCACAGCTGCTATTTTTTTGCAGGGAGTGGACAGTACCCGTGTGTTAATGTGCAGGTACACATGCTTCAAATACCGGTATCAATAATGCGCATCAATTCTGTCACTACCCTGCTTTTGCACACCACTTTCTTATATGCGCTTTTCTTGTTAACACACAGTACACACCGCTGTGCACAGCGCACGCACACGCAAAATCAGCTGATCTCATCTGATGCAGATTTGCTCCTTGATCATTTGTCCGGAGTTTTGGCACGAGTGACGATCAGCACCGCGGCTGGATGGCCCGATTTACATACCCAGCGCAGCTGATACTCCAGAATAATTTACTAAAATTATATGCACTCCTGCTATTAAGTCCAGTTCAGTCTGTTAATGTTGATAACGGTTTCAAACAAACGTTAATAGGTGTGTTGCTAACCCTAATAACTTAAATAACAAACTTGAAATGTACCCGTCCCATTTTCCCCTTTGTTGTTTTTTCTCTGTGCTGTAAATCTTCTGTCTAAGAAGAAATCTGAGGCTGCTGTTCTGAGAATGAGCTACCAAAGCTTTTTCTGAATAAATCAATAAAGATCCATTTATGGAAAGCTTTGATGAAGGCAGTTTTGTCTTTAATTATATTCAACAATATAACATATTCGACCACTTTTAAGTGATTTTTCTAACTTTAATACACTAAAGTTAAGGTTATATACCTAATTTCTAGTAAGTGGCCCAGGCCCTCCTATATTATTATGTATGTGGCCCTCAGTAAAAAAAGTTTGGACACCCCTGCCCTAGCCTCTTGTGTCACTTAGCAGTTTTGTCTTATTATTGTCTGATTTTTGAAATGTAGGGACTGTGAGCACAAGCAGACGTATTTACTTTAGAAGTGAACATAACCTCATTTTCAGAGTCGTCTCTAACATTTAATGGTTGTGAAATTTGTCAAACATATGCACCATTCTTCAAGGGGTGTGCAAATGATGCCATCTCATATCATATTGCAACTGATTCAACTGTTATTGTATCCTTTCCTGTATAAGACATCTGTTGCTGTTGATAAACCAACATTATATGCTGATGCCTAATGGAAAAGTATTATTTTAATGTCCTTTTAAGATATTTGCCCAGTAACCTAAGTAGAGCTGATAATGTCAGTAATTGACTAAAGTGGATGCATTTATCATGGTGAAAGTAAATGGCAGCATGAAGGGAACTTGGAAATTGCCATGAAAGTTTTTGTGCTTGATGAGGGAAAAAACATAGCTGTCTTGCCTTTCTTAAACATGACCCAGCTGCCTCTTCTGATGGAGCACTTAACTGAGGTCTCTCCCACTTCCCTGTTCTTTCATGTTGCTATTGTGACTGTATGAACTTCTGGAAGCTTTTGCCCACATCTTGAAATCTGTGGCTGAATAGATTTTGAAATTCTATATGTGGCTCAGGACCATCGACATGGACACTTTTTACAACCAGTTCCAAAAGATTTGAGACGTTGTGTAAAATGTTAATAGAATCCAAATTTGGAATTATCTCATAAATCCAACTAATGTTTTTCACAGCTAATGATAGAAAATATCATGTGTTTAAACTGAGAAACTGTACGATTTTAAGAAAAGAAAACTATTAGGTAATTTTAAAAATGGTGGCACAAACATTGCACAAAAAGTTGGTAGTTTTACTGTGTAATATTACAAAGAAACAGCAGGGGAAAAGTTCTCAAATTGTTAGGTTAAAGGGTCAGTAACAGGTTGAGCAGAGATTCAATCAGCAAGAGCGGTGTCTATAAATTATGGAACAGAATAATGATCTGCAATGTAAAATTGTTAAGACTCTGAATATATAATCTACGCATATTATATCACGGTACCTAATATCAAAGGTCCACTACATTAAAATAGGTATGGTTAACTGGGTATCAATACACTGGCAGAGAAACATTTCCAGACACCACTGGGCTTCATTCACTATTGTTCTTACAAACAAATTCGTTTTCATAGAAAAGCCATCATCAGAAACATGATCTACGTACAATGGCCAGTTTGGTTCTTACAGCTGTGCCTATGTTAATGAATGAGGCTCATTCAACTCGATCCACAGGCCTATGCTATCTGCCTACAATTTCCAGTGTGTGCGTCTGATGCCCCAAAGCTGACTCAGAGCCATAACACCATCAATGGCTGCAGTATGGAACAGATGTGGGTGTGTCCTCATCTCCCAGAGGAGTCCAAATCGTCATCAAACAGCCCTACAGACACAAAAACGTGAAAATATAAACAACCAGACTAGAGCTGGGCGATATATCGAGTTTTTAAAAAATATCGATATATTTTTATACGAGATATAAGATGTGACCATATCCTTTATATCGATATAGTCTATGTTACGTTATAATTATACTTGCAGAGCCGCAAGTTTGCCTCTCTTTCGTCCACTTTCGTCTTTACGCAACGTTACTCGGCCTCGCCTCTCCTTCTCTGAACACAACTCCCCCTCCTCCCCCATCGCTTCACCTGCAGGAAGCGACAAGATGGACACGGCAAATCTCCGTTAACAAGTTACTGCGCATCGCCTCGTGCGTGGGGCTGGACGGCGTCAACGTGTTAGCTAGCTAACCACGCTAACGAGCTAACCACGCTAACGCCATGCAGCCCAGAGGTGCTGCACGGACTAAAATCCTTTCATTTTCTCAAAAGTTGACAGCGCTCCTTATGTATGAATTCTGGTTGTGCTTGATGACTGCGAACCGATTTTATGTGGAACACGGCGCTCAGCAATCTGTCAAAAAATGTTTTAGTACGAC